CATTCATCTATTGCTCATGATGTAATTGAACAATATGCAAATGAAGTAGCATCAAATATTGTTGACAATGCTGTTCTAACAGCAATAACAACAACTGTTTATCATAACGAACAAGAACAACAGCCACGACGTTTTTCATTTTATAATAATAGCGGTGGGCATGGTAAGAGTTTATTATTTCAGTCAAATACATTTGTACCATCTAATGGCACAGTTAATCAAGAAGAAATTCAAGATTTTCGGGGTATTTTATATGAATTCTTTGCATGAATTTTATCTTAAATAATTTCATTTTTTTTATTTATAAAACAAAAAAAAAATCGTCTAAGTTAATTTTTTATTATCCTTTAGCCGAATCTGCGGCATCGAGTACATTATTAAACGATCCTTTAGTATCAACAATGCCTTTAAATACAGAAGATGAATCTCAACATACATTAATTGTTGGTCGATATGTTGATGGTAATGATTCTAAAAAAGGGAAAACAAGACAACGTCGTAGTTTAACTGTTGATACTAAATTTGATTTAAGTTCATCATCATCATCAGTATCATTAAATGATGAACAAATTAATCATCAACAATATCTTTCTAATAGTCAACTTTTTTCTGCGCATGAATTATATATTCGACCATGGCTTATAAGACGAGCAACATTACCTAATATTCATTGTCTTGATAATAATCTAAATGACACACGTGTTGAAGCAATAACAACAACAACACCGACAACGATAAATTCATTGGATATGTTTTTTAATATTTTTCCAAATAATCATAATTTAGATTTATTTACACGTTTTACTTGTTTAATTACAATATTACTCTATCTTGATGATGTTCATGATGAAAATTCAAATAAAATTTTATATGATGAACTTAATCAAATTGAAAAACAATTTATAAATGAAATTTTAACACCATCAAAAATTAATACAAATGTTTTTCAAACAATAAATCCTGATGGAAGTAAACGTTATCGAACAGGATTTATTCTTGATATAAATCCATCTAATACAAAAAATATACCAAAAATTTTTTCAAAACAAATCGAATGGAAACGTGTTAAAATTATTACTCGACGTTTTAGAAAAAAATATCAACATTATAAACAATTAATAAAAAATGATCAGAAAAAAATTTCTAATCAATCGAATATTGAGAATTATTTTAAATATTTTGATACGACATCTAAACGTCGCATGAAAAAATATGCGAAACATTATGCAGAAAAATTATAAGAATTTATTTGTTTTTGTTTTTTGTTTTTCTTTAATTTAGTAATTAATCATCATCAATGACATGTACATTCCAATTGATTATTTCAATATTGGAAATAAGGCATTTTTATTATTAACATTTATTCAAATAAAATATGTTTATCTTATTGGAAAATGTTTTATTTTATGTTTGAAAAATAAATAAACCACAAAAAAAATACGATATCTAAGAAAACATTGACAATTGTTCGAAATATCTTGACTTTATCATATTTTGACTGTAACAAACACTTCTTCGATTATATATGAGCAAATATGGTTCCGCAACCGAGACCAAAACTTTTTTTCTGACTGGAACCAAAGCCAAGTATTTTTTTTAAACCAGGACTGAGGCCAAACATTTTTTTAATCGGAAGCGGAACCAATCATTTTTCCTTGTCGGGTTAGGTGTCAAACATTAGTCTGTTTGGTTAGATTGTGTATGTGAACTTTTTTTGTAAAACTATCTTATCAGCCTTCCCATTCTCATCGCATTAATTAGAGCTACAGTTTTGTAGAATATTGTTGTTATTACTCATCGAGATATTTCATCAAACATGGAAAATACATTTCTATTCGTATATGTATATCGTACATTTCATGTTGGGATAGACTATTATGTTACTTACAATAGCTATGTTTATACATCTTTTGCTCTATGTCAACAATCTGGCTTTAAAAAAAACGCATTGCAAACTATTGTTCACCAAAAACAAGACATTCATATATCTGTTCATAATAGGATTTTGATTTGTGGAGCAACCATTCTATGACTATGACAGTGATTAACATTTAATATCACTAATGTAAAAACAATACTGAAGTAAGATGTTAGAACTTTCAGGGCTTCCTCTCTTAGAAAATCGAATTTTTCAAAAACATATCGAAGTTAAATTTTTATCACAGGAAGATGCATTGACACTTCCTCTTTCAGAATATGTATGGTTTTTTTGGAAAATGACTAGATTTTCAAAGACTTATCGCATGAAAATTTGATTCTACTACTATATTTTCATGGTTTTACATTTTTCAGTTTTGGAAAAACTGCATTGCCACTTGCATTATCATTGAATAGAACATTTTTATATAATAACCAGCATGTCAGATGGCGTTAGTTACCTTCATCTATTACGTACTTTAAAAAAGATCCACTAGAATATATTAAAAATATTTAATTGTAATATGATTTATTCTGGATTTGAAAGAAAAAATCCATTTCTAAAATTTCTTTAGCGTTTTTCTCAAAACATGGTTTCTAGACAGGAAAATTGAAATAACTCACTCTCTCTCTCTCGGCTCAGGGTATGATCAATGCTTTTTTTTAAAGATTTTAATCAGAGCTAACTTTTCATCGAATGAATTTTTGATACTTGATTCCTGAACTGAGAAAAGTGGGATTTAACGTTGTAGAGTCACATTTTTTTATGCTTATTTTGAACATTATATCCATTAAAATGCTCATAAAAAAATGAATGGAAGGAAGTTTCAAAATTCTGTTGGATGAAAAGTTGTGCACAGAGACCAGCTTTAATTTGAAACCAGCCTGAGATTTGTATCTCTTCTAACGACGGAGTTATTTCGATTCTTCTGAAAGATAAGAAAACAAGCTAAAAGTTCGGTTTAGTAGGATATATCAGACTGAAATTTTTACCACAAGCGTTTTTCACTAGGACCAATCGTTCCTGAAAATTTCAGTCCAAACGATCCATTCTAAATGGAAAATCAATTCTGAGAGGCGGGGCTCACTTAAATAATGTTAACAATTAGTAACAAATGATAAATAATTAAAGGAAATGTTTTTTTTTCTATTACAATACGATAAATAATAATCATATTTCATTGAATAAAATTGATTTTCTAGGAAACTTTTATATCATGTTTTGTAAAGAATAATTTTATCTTAAGAAAACATATTGAATATTTCTTTCTTTTCAAACTTGATTAACCTTTCGTACGTCCTTTGTTGAATAACTATACTAGTCAAGTTTTAACATAAGAAATGAACGAACGAAAAAAAAAATCTATTTATTTCTCTCTCTATAAAATAGTAAGATCATATATGTCACGTGGCATAAACATATTGATCGAGGGTATATAACTATAAATCAATGTAGAAAATAGAGAGAAAATTATCAATATAAATAGTGTATGTAAGTGTTATTCGGACTAAAAGAAAATTCTATTTATTTCTTTTCTATCGTTTGTTCGTTGTTGATGTAGTGGTGGTATTGTCTTTCAAAAAAACAAAAAACACAAAAAAAATATAAGTGATTCAATTTAATAATGGAACGACAAGAACATCGAGATATGGATGATGAACAAGAAGAACATACTATTGGTAGTCTTGATACATCTATGGATAGATATCTTGAACATCATGGACTTTGGAGGAAACGTATTCCACAAGGTTTAAAGAAAACAAAAATATTTGTTTATAATGTTTTTTTTTTCTTATATTTAGATGGATCAAGTTTGTTTCGTGCTGTATCAGAAGATGTAAGAAAAAATTAATTTAAAAGGAAAAATTGTTTTTTTCTTTTTGGTTTTTAGTTATTCTCGACTCAAGTTCATCATTATGATGTTCGATTAAAATGTATTGAACATATGGAATTGAATGCTAATGAATATAGTCCAGTAAGGAAAATTTTTTATTTTTATTTTTTTGATTTATGATTATAAAGATTGTCTTTTAGTTAATTACAATGTCATTATCAAAATATTTAACTCATTTAAAAGATCCAACTGTAATTTGATTGAATTATTTTTTAAATTTAAATGAAGAAAAATATCTGTTTTTGTTTTTCTCTTATAGACACCAGGTGGTATGCTTGAAGTGGAAGCACTTGCACGATGTTATCGGTATGGAACAAAAAAAAAAAAAAAAACTTTTTGTTAGAAAAATCAAATGTTATTTATTTAGTGTTCGTATTATTGTTTATTCTGGTAAAGATCATGATCCTGTTGAATGTCAATATGGTTCAAAAACAATTATGCTTTCATTAATTGGTTATCAATTTGATCGAGTTATTACAGAAGAACGTCGTCGACTTTTGGGCATTGTACAAGGTAAAAAGAAAAAAAAAAATTTGTGTTATCATCGAAAAACTTGTGAAGATAAGAACTCTTTCATAACTTTATTTTGTTATTAATTAATTATTTTGAGTCTCGAGATTGTTCGTTAAAGAATAAAAGGCCATCTGTAAGAAAAATTTCACAAGGCGTAATAGCAGACTAAAGGTTTTTGGAAATTCAGTGAATTTCAGCACTTAAAAACCCAATTTTGAGTGAAATATTATTTTTTGCCTAGTGAAAAAGTGCTTTTCTTAGCAAAAATCGTCTGTTTGAATATCGGAAGAGTTTTTCAAAAATCCTAGTTCTCAAGAGGTAAATGTTAGCAAAAGCCTAGCCCGAAATAGAAGGCATTCCGTGGAGGAGCAGGGTATAATGAATCGATAGAAGCAATTTATTTGAATGATAAGTTGTCCTTCATTTGTCAGAATGGCTACGAAATTTCATTTGGTTTTTAATCATTGAAAATAAAAGAGAACAATATATCTTGACCTTTTTCGACAGATATTCAAGTTATTAACAAAGATTGAACTTTAAACTTGTCTATCTGAATAAAAAAAACTACTAATAACAGTTATCACATAATAGACTAACTAATATTGTAGATTACATGAATTTTGACTCGGTTCAAAAAGCTACCGAAACTTCGAATCGGGACCAAGTTTGCCTCAAAAAAGCTTTATTTCTATGAATATTTACCAGGAAATGTTTTCAACTGATCAAACACTTTTGAATTCGGACGCTGAGTGTAAATTAGATTTCAGTGAGATATAAAAAAAGCTCCAAAAGATAAATTCCCTTTGTCCTTTTGACTGAAAAAGGGCTAAGAGAATTTATCTTTTGGAGCTTTTTTTATATCTCACTGGAGTCTACCTTCTACATAGAGTCCGAATTCAACAGTGACTGACCATTGGAAAATGTTTTCTCGTAAGAAGTGTACCAACTATTTATATAAATAAGATTTTTTATGGGAATTAATGAAATGAAATGAAATGAGGATATGGTCCGAAGTTCCAATGACCTTTTCAGTCCGATCTTACGATATGTTCTAAGCAATTTATATATAAAATATTAATTTTTGTTTTTTGTTTTTGTTTTAGCTTATGTTTATAAATTTCTATATAGTGAAGTATTTAATCAACCAAAAGTAGTCGAGCAAGCGAAAGCCATGTTAAGAAAATCTGATACACTTTATTATGGTGTTAAAGGAGCTAGCATGCAAAAGTAATAAAAAATATATATATATATATATTTTACTTTTTGAATTTTGAAAATTTTAGACATTCAGATCGACCAGAAAAGAAAACAAATCATGAATTAATTCCTGTACCATATCGTACAGCTAAAGCATTTGAACCAGCTATTTATCGAAATGTTGCTTATGATGTTTATATGAATGATCATTTTAAAAAATATTTTGATAGAAATATAATTAAACAACATCAACATATTCCATTTATGACACATAATCGATTAATTGAACGATTTGGTAAAATCAAAAAAAAAATGTTTATATATTATAAGAATTTATTTTTATTTTTCAGGTGTTAAAATGCATTTGCCTGTTTCTTATATAAATCCACCAGATTGTCGACGAGTTATTGTTACATTATCGAATTCTGATGAATTATTTGCTTATTATGTCGGTGAAGATGTTGATACAAATATGCATAATGTTTATCTTGTTAAATTTGGTTCAATGTTAGATTTTTATTTTCTTTTTTTTTTTTCATTTGAACTTATAAAAAATCTTTTTCATAGGACTAAAACAACTGGTGAGAAAATGTTAGATTTTCCAGCTTCACTTGGTCGTCGTCCAGTAACATTTGCACAATTAAAACGTCATACAAATATGTATCGAAAATTGAAACCATGTTGTAAGTGATTATTTTATTTATATAAGAAAGCAAAAATCTATATTAATATTTGATATAGTGGATGCAAGTTTACAATTTTTTGAAGAACGTTCATCACGACGACAACGGCAACAAGTAGTAGATTATGGAAATAATCAATCAGTTCAATTGTAAGATATATTCTATTTCATTAGATTTAATGAAGTAGACCTTTTGCATTGTTCTAAGTTCACCAGAAGTGAGAGCGGGATGTCAATCACTTAAAAAGTTGATTAAAAGACTTTTGCTAAAATTGACCAGAAATTTATGATTTCAAGGTCCCTCCAATTGAGACACACCTGTTAATATAAACGTATTAGTAGCTAATAATGGCTGATCGAAAATTAATTAGATGCAGGTTTTTTTGTAAGGAGACTGCAGAAATTTGAAAACATTCGGCTAGAATCAGAATTTTGGATTTATGAATCTTGGATGTGTCTAATTACTTTTCGATCATCTGTTATAATATTTATTGATTCTAATTCATTTAATTGAACATGTTGTAATTCGAAATAAAAGATAAAACATTTGTTTATTTAAGTTTTCGTCCATATCCACCATTAATGTCACCAATAAATCCAACTGTTCTATATTCACCACCTCTTGAAAATTACTCAACAAATTCTAATTGGATTCCTCCATCATCACCTACTCATCAAACAATGCCAATATTAATGCCAATTAATAATTCTGATCAAATGCAATTACATCATCGTCTTAGTGTTAATGTTACTGATCATTATGAATGGACAACAAATCCAACAAATTTTTTTCCGGGATATTCAACAACAACAAATTCATCAAATATAGATACAATGTCATTAAATGGAAGTTTAAGTAGTAATACAAGTACAAATGATAGTTCATCTTATCCAATATTAGCACCAATGCCAACAGTTTTTTTTAATCAATATCCTCAACAATCATCAGGTGAACAACAACAACAACAACAACAACAACAACAATATATTCAACCGACTGTCTTTTTTCCACAACCAATTTCACCAAGATTAATTAATGAACAAGTACAACAAAATATGATGAATGATGTTTCATCGAACAAGTTTGTATTTTTTTGGAACTATTCAATGAATTAAATTCTGATTTGAATATTGTTTTTTTAGAATTTTTGCTGGTCAAACTCCATTTGTTATTATGGTAAAAACTTTTTTTTTTCAATAAAACTTTCACTTTAAATTTTTATTATTTTAAAATAGTCTCCATCACATCCATTGATTGGTCAAGGACCACCACAACAACCTGTTTCAGGTAAAATAATTTTATTATTATCTGCTTTTTTTAAAATGTTCTATCATTAATGATTTATTTCATTAGGATTTCATCCAATTTCAATGATGCCACGTGTTTATATGGATCCAATGAATTGTTCATCAAATGGTACTAATGTTTATCTTCCTCCTAGTGGACAAAATCTAATATCTACACAACAACAATCATCACCAAAACTTCCTATTTTTTATTCATCATCACCACCACCATTTACTCAATGGATTCCTACTGCTCCGCCACCACTACCACCACCTTATTTTATGTTATCTAATCATCAACCAGCACAACATTTTCCTTTTCAACAGTTAATTTGAACTGTGTGTATGTGTGATTTTGTTTCTATTTTTTTGTTTTTTTTTTGTTTCAGTTGAAAATTTAACTCTTGTACATTTATTAGATCTATCTATCTATCTATCTATTATTGTTTGTGAACTAGAGACTTCTATTTTTTTCCTTGTGGGATTTATTTGTATATATATATATATATTAAAGTGTGTATGTAGTTTGTTTAAGTTGGCTTTTTTTTTATAAGCGTATACACTATGTGTACTGAAGAGGAGATGAAAGAAGAAGAATTAATATATATACAGATATGTACACAGTTATGTAAACTACTTATGTATTCAAATTTTTAATATAGACGTTCGATGTCAATAAGAATATACATATTCATATCAAGAAAGACTTGATTACTTTTATTTCTATGGTTATATAATCGTATTCATGATTATTTTGCAAAGATAGCGTTTTGATATTATTGTATGCTGAAAAAATACAATCCGTTTATTCTATTGTATCTGTAGAAAGTGTTTGATTTACAGCGAATGTTGAACATAGACTAACAAGAAAACATTTTCAATTGATTAATCAATTTCTCGTCAAAAGCTTTCAGGTTGTGGATGGTTATCGACCGTGCTGATTCTTAGAGCATATCGTGTTGTCTAGAAGACAATAATCTTATCTGTTTTCCGAAAATGAGCTCAATATCACGAAGAGTTTCACATTGAAATGTTTATTTGTATCTATTATATGTGTTAAAATAGTTGCATTTTCTTCAAATACAAAAAGAAAAACGATTTTAAACAAAAAACGTTGGTGTTTTCCAAATAATTCGATGTTCTTTATAATCGAAACGGATTACAAGAACAATTTGTTCGTTTATAAAAAAAACCAGCATATGAAGACCTAAGGAAATTTCTCACGGTTATATTTGATATGGAGCCCGTCTGGTTAGTTCCAAACCCGAATCCGACCAGGTCTGGATTTGAAAATTTTGGACCCGACGGGTTCTAATGATCGATAAGCTGTAATCCATAGTAGCTTTCGTTACAAAAAAAAATGACGATTTAGTTGAAAACGTTCCCTCGTAAGATCATCATGCGTCTAACAATCTCATAAGCATCAATATTCGAAAGATATGGTTTTTCTAATAATTTATTTTACTTTAAACTAGAATCACGTCTTCAAATACTCATTGATCATATATGATAAAAAAAAATATATATCCTTTCATTACATGGATTTAAGATCTACCATGTTTTCATTGGATCAACTTAACAAGTGTCTAAAACAAATTTCTCAATGAAATTTATTTTCTTTCAATTGTTCACAATGATGTTTCTCACCCTTGATTACATGAAACTCTTTAAGTAAAAGCAATTTATATGATTATTTGATAATATTTATTCGATAAGATATGAATCAAATTTATAATTATGCTTTCTTGTTAATGTGAATAATTGATCAAAGTATTGTTAACTAATCATACGTGCATATCTTAGTCATTATTCTGTGAAACAATGACATAATACCTTTTGTTGATAGGATGTTCTTCAACAAAATATACTCATTTCTTTAGATTGTTGA